TTTCCTTTAAAATTTTGTTTTCATGAAAAAAAATGAACACTGGATTTTTTTTCTGAGTATAGTCGTTTATTGCCCTCAAAATTAATTTGATATGTATTGAAAAAAAATATTGCCGTCTTTTCAAAATTTGCATTCGATTAGCAAAAATATAAATCAAATCAATTTCAATGCAATGTAAATTGGTTATGGTTGGCCGTCATAGAAACAAAAAAAAAAAAAAAAAAAAACAAAGAATTTCACGCGGTAATGGAATTGTTCTGGAATTTTGAAATTTACAATTTCAAATCGAATAAATACCCTATAAAATTTTGTTCTTCTTCATATAATCATATTAAGCGTATAATTAATGTATAAACAATTTATTTTTGAATTATTAAATTATTGACGTAAATTCCATGCAGAGTCATGGAGGAATTGCAAGGAATTTGAAAATAAAATTACTAAGTCTAATTTTTCTGGGCAATATACAAACTAAGAAGAAAAAAATCAAAAATAAACAAAATTAATAAAATTACAAAGATACAATTTTTAGAGAATTTTTTTTATAAAAAAAATCTTAATATATTTTTTTCCACGTCTAAGTTATTTAAAAAAATAATGCCTGTTACAAACATATGCACAAAGACATAATACCCTGTACCACAGAGTGGTGAAGAGTATAATCATAAACCAGTGAGCGGAGCAGTATAGTCGTACGGGGCCGACCACACGATACCCTACACAACTACCACGGAACTTTAACTTTCTGCCGACGTTTATTCTGAGCGTGGGCAATATTTCGTGATAGTTGCACCCTCTTGCCCGATTAAAGATCGACAGCACCTCTTCCTTACACTGACATATTTTCCGAATATTCCCAATATTGAGTACAGCCCTTCTAAATACTTGTCTAGGTTCCCTTGTGATGTTCGGATTATAATTGTGGCCTATAGATCGTCCCGAAAAAAACATAAAAAATTAAGTTTTCGGTTCACTTCATTCCAAAATTTTTATCTGATCTTCACCAAAAATTATAGCCGTTATCCCTGACCATACCTGGATCCTCATTGAACATTTCAAAGCGATCAGCGCTATATTTCCGCCCCCTAGTGTGGTAATGGGTTACTAAATAATATTTCAGTACGTAAGCACCTGTAAATATTTAAGTGTAACTCCCACATCTGAGTACATACGACCATATAATTAGTATAAATTTAAAGGTCAACCACTCCTCTTGGATATGCTATCAACTTCTGGGGTCTATGTCCTTCAGGGGTAAATCTATACGCCATAGAATATAAATTTTGTCATTTTTCACACAAAAGTCAGGGTCCATTTGACCCGCTAAATATTGGCCGATCTTTATCAAAACAAGCATGCTTATTCTATGGCCCGATCCCCTTCTCCGTGCATAATTGCGGCTTGTGGAGCGACCAGAAAAACCGACATAAACGTTTTTGGTCCTTTTCATCCCCTAAATATTAACCGATCTTTTCCAAAAAAACAATAGGGGTCTTCATTGGCCAGAACCCATCCTACATGCAAAATTTCGTGAAGATTGGTCCATAACTGTGGCCAGTATCGTGTTTTCAAATTATAATGGACAGACGGACGGACACACATATCTAGATCGACTCAGCTTGTCGAGATATGATCGGTATACTTAAAGGTGGGTCTAGGACCAATACAAACTTTTGGGGCTACACAAAGCTATAATACCCTGACAACATAGTTGTGTAGGGTATAAAAATTTTAAAAACATTTTTTTTAAATTTTTTTTATAATGAATATTTTCGATTATGTGGATATTATAAAACGCTCCCCCTCAATGTTATAGACTTGAATAGGATGATTTTTTTTTATTCTCTCCCGTAGGCCAATAAATCTATAAAACCAAACAAAAATACATGTTTAGTTGTGCTTGTTGTTGTCGTTGTTGTTTTTACGAAGACGATAACAAATTATCTGCATTTGACTTTCGTTTTTTGTTTGTTTTCCACGTTCCTTGTGTTTTGTTTCTTTTTAATTCCCCTTGGCCAATTTCATGACGGGGTTATGGCATTATTCTTGTGACGTAGTACCTTAAGAATAGCATGGTCAAGGTCCAGCCTATTTATTTCGGGCATTATGTGACGGACTAAATGTATTTATTTGATTTTGTTAAGAATATGACTAAGAGTGGTTCTTGACTAAAAGTGCACAAACACACAACATTTTGAAAAGAGGAAAGAGGAGGGAAATGCAATATTTGCGCAAAAAACACGTCATGGCTAAATCACTATATACGTTATAAAGGAAATACTTAAATAGCTGTAACATAGATGATTCTAAATGACCCTGGGGAGTCATCTACGGTGTCATCATAGGCGATAGGTGTGGATTTTTTTAGGGTATATTGTTAAAAAAAATTGTTCAACTATATTTTGAAAATTTTATAGAAAATTATTTTTAAAAATTTAAAGTTTTTATACCCTACACAAATATGTTGCCAGGGTATTATAGCTTTGTGCAGCCCCAAGAGTTTGTAACGCCGCGAAATATCGGTCCTAGACCCACCTTTAAGTATAAGTATATCTCGACTAGCTGAGTCGATCTAGACATGTGTGTCCGTCTGTCCATTATAATTTGTAAACACGATACAGGCCACAGTTATGGACCAATCTTCACGAAATTTTCCATGTAGAATGGGTTCGGGACAATGAAGACCCCTATTGTTTTTGGTAAAGATCGGCTAATATTTAAAGGATGAAATGGACCAAAAACTTTATTTTTGCCTGATATTCTGGTCGCTCCACAGGCCGCAATTATGGCCAAAACATTACGATTTTTTACATGGAGAATGGGATCGGGCCAAAGAAAAAGCATGCCAGTTTTGATAAAGATCGATTAATATGTAGCGGGTCAAATGGACTCTGATTTTTGTGTGAAAAATGACAAACTTTGTATTCTATGGCGTATATATTTACTCCTGAAGGACATAGATCCGAGAAGTTGTTAGTATATCCAAGAGGTTTGGTTAACCTTAAAGGGAAATTACCACACTAGAGGGCGGAAATAAAGCGCTGATCACTTTGAAATGTTCCCTGGGGATCTAGGTATGGTCAAGGACAAAGCCTATAATTTTCAGCGATTATCAGATAATTATATTGGGATGAAGTGGACGGAAAACTTAATTTTGTGTGTGTGTTTTTTTTTCGTGTCGATCTATAGGCCACAATTGAAAGCCGAACAACAGCATACAACCCACGGTGAAGGGAATCTGGACAAGTAATTAGTAGGCCTGTACCGATCTATATAAGTAATATTTGTTGAACTCTAATCGGTCAAGAGGGTGTAAATATCGCGAAGAAGATTTTCGTGGAAGTTGTGCACATATCGCGAAATATTGCCCAAGCTCAGAATATAGAACCACAGAAAGTTAGATTTTCGTGGAAGTTGTGTAGGGTATCATATGGTCGGCCACGTCCGACTATAATGCTCCGCTCACTGGTTTAAAAGGCGTGGATTTTTTTAAAATATTTTTTTAGATCGTCCCACAATTCATTTTGAGAATATAATTTCCTGTGTCGATTTATCCATACGACAGTCTGTCGATGTGAAATTACAAACATACATACCTTATGAAGTATAATAATGATGTTTGCGAAGTTTCCTCAAAATCAGCACAGATTTAGATATAACTCCCATCTATAGTAATGTTCGATTTGACGTAAATCCCAATGCCCAAACTCCCATTATTAGTCCAATTGAGACGAAATTTTAAAAATTGAGTCTAGAATGCTGTAAGGTTGGCGGTACAGGATTTCCTTCCCAGATTTCTTCTGTAGACGATTTATAGTAGGTCTTCAATATACATTACATATCTATATAGTATATTTTTGAACACATGTAGTCTCCCTGATAGCTATTGCAGACCTCTGGAAGATGTTCAGTTTCTATAAAACCTATAGAAGGTTTATATACCTTTTCTCTAGTAGGTCTTCACTCTATAAAATAGCTACAGAAGCGTTTTTCCCTGAATTAAATAATTACTGGTGTCAAAATAAACAGATCCCAACCCCGTTTTTTAATTTAAGGGAATATAAAACCCCCCTCAAAAATGGGTTTACTTCTATGGGTTTGTGACATATTTTCAAGGTTATAAGTTTTCCCTAATTAGTTTCCATTGTTTTCATTTCCACAAAAACGGGGGTTCATTGAACGTTTTTGTTTTTTCCAATTTCTTTTTGTAATGTTCCTTTCTTTCTTCTGCTTGTTCTTTGGCATTAAAAATAAATGCGGAAAAGATACACAGAGAAAAAAGTTAATTATTTCCCTATGTGACAATACGAATCCGACTAATAATACAAATTTATGATTCACTTTGACTACAATGGGAAATAAAGGAAAATTAGGGCAGGGGTTCGCAAGGGGGAATGGGGGGAGTATGAAATAATATTTGACCATTTTTTTTGTTGGCAACCAAAAACAACAACAACAAAAAATGCCATATTTTCAATGTCTGTTTTTGTTGCCTTAAAGGTCCTGGCAGTGCGCAGGTCTGCTCTAGGATTATTTTTGATCGCAAGGAACCCTTAAAAATTGTCTTGTGTCCTCCTCCTCGTCCCCCGCGTGGAAGTGTCTTGAAACCCCAACCTTAGACAACTAAGCGAACATACAAATGATGACACTACAAAAAAATCAAGCTTCCACTGTTATTGGTGTTTTTGTTGCTTTTCTGCTGACACATATAACAAAAGGAACATTTTGGGTTTTATTGTTGTTGTTGTTACTTTTGTTGTTCTTTGGATTCTCACTTTACTTTTTTTTTTGGTTAGAACACATACATATATTATACATAGAGTACCTCTCCAATGTCTGTTTTTCCTTCAAGTCGAACTTGCTTGGTTACGAAACCATGAAAAAAAAGACAAGAAAGGAAAACTCAAAATCGATATTACTTTCATGTCCTTTTTCGCATCACTACGTCATTGACTAGGCAATTTCAAATTTTTTGAATTTTTAAATTTTTTTCCACTTACCAATAATAGGCAATATTATCGCCCAGACCATTGCGTATATTCCGATCCAATAGATTATAGCAAATATTTGTCGAGGCACCCTCCATCCATTTAATGGAAATTGGGCCCTTGGTTATATCGAAATTGTATTGCAAAAATTTCTTGGGTTCCGCTGGTGTCTCCCAGTGGAACTGCTTGGCCACACGAGACCAAAATTCCTCGGGATTTTCTATGGACTCATCATAGAATTTCTTGTATTCCTCCATGCTGGAGATGTAGGCATTTTTGCTAATGGCCGGATTTGGATTGTAAATCCCTTTTTCTGCAGGCATTTTGATTTTGTTTGTGTTTTTTTTTATAAATTTAAATTACAAGGAATGTCCTTAAAGGATTTTTTATTTTAATTCTATATTTCACAAAAATTTAACAATTGGACATTGGATATTGTTTTTATATTTTAATTCCGCAATCAATTTTTTCTTTTGGAATTTCACTGGAAATTAAATATTCTACTTTTAGGTAAGTAGAATATTTTTTTGTTGTTGTTGTCTTAAATTTATTTAATTTTTTTATTCAGGTTTTTTGTTTCCGTTTCTGTTTGTTCGATGAGATCTCTACCACCAAACAAAACACCTCTACACGGTTTGAACGACACTCGTATACTGAAATCGTTGCCAACGAACCCTAAAATATCTCTCAGTTTATCTGTTTAGCTATTTTGTTTCTGTTGTTGTTGTTGGGCCTACGCAAAAGCTTTTTCTGTTTTCTCAGTGCTCTGTGCAAATGGAGCTTTTTTCCTCCTATGATACGAAACAGGCAGAACACATTTTTGTTAAGGGAGGATTTTTAATTTTGCAAAACCACATTTTGTAAACAAATCGTAGACAATTCTCTTATACAGGTCTTATCTCAGGAAGGGCAAACCTAAGAGGCGTTGATTTTTTAAAAATATTTTTATACCCTTCACCACACTTTGTCTTTGTGCATATGTTTGTAACAGGCAAAAGAAATCGAGATAGAGATAGAGGTTCCTTGTAAGAATATGTATAGAATCACTTTCTGAGTCGATTTATGCATGTCCGTCCGTCTGTTGATACTAAATTGTAAACAAAGTACAGATCGCATTTATAATCCGATTTGGATGAAATTTGGCACAAGTCACTTATTTGGCCCAAGGACAAACCCTATTGTAATTGATGAAAATCGGTTCAGATTTAGATATAGCTTCCATATATTTTTTCGTCCGATATAGGCACCAAAGTCCCTATATATCTCTCGATTTGCACGAAATTCGGCATAGAATACTGAATTAGGACCGGAATGATATGTGCTAAGTTTCGTAAAAATCGGGTCAGACTTAGATCTAGCTCCCATATATATTTTCGTCCGGTTTTAGGTAAATAGTGGACCAAAGTCTCAATATATCCTTCGATTTGCACGAAATTTGGCATAGAGTACTGAATTAGGTCCAAAATGACCTAACCCTATTGAAATTTGGAAAAATCGGTTCATATTTAGATATAGCTCCCATATACAGTTTCGCCCGATTTTAGGTAAATGGTGCACCAAACTACCTGAAAATCATTCGATTTGCACATATCGTACTGAATTAAGTTTAGAATGATGTGTGCTAAGTTTCGTGAAAATCGGTTCAGATTTAGATATAGCTCTCATATATAGCTTCGTCTGATTTTAGGTAAATGGTACACCAAAGCCCCAGTACAGCCCTTCTAATTACTTATTCAGATTCCCTTCACCGTGGGTTGTATTGTTATGTTCGGCTTTCAACTGTTGCCTATAGATCGACTCGAAAAAAAATAAGTTTTCGGTCCACCACTTCATACCAATATTGTTATCACCGAAAAATATAGGCGTTGTCCTTTACCGTACCAGGATCCTCATAGAAAATTTCAAAACGATCAGCGCTATATTTCCGCCCTCTAGTGTGGTAATTGGTTACTAAATAATGTATAGTAAGCACCTGTAAATATTTAAGTGTATCTCCCACATCCGAGTACATACGCCAATATAATTGGTATCAATTTAAAGGCCAACCACTCCTTTTGGACATACTATCAACTTCTTGGGTCTATGTCCTTCAGGGGTAAATCTATACGCCATAGAATACAAAATTTGTAATTTTTCACACAAAAGTCAGGGTCAATTCGACCCGCTAAATATTGACCGATCTTTATCACAACAGGAATGCTTATTTTTTGGCCCGATACCCTTCTCTATGTAAAAAATTCGAGATGTTCGGACCATAATTGCGGCCTCTTGAGCGACCAGAAAATCAGACAAAAATTACGTTTTTTGTCCATTTCATCGCCTAAATATTAACCGATCTTTAGCGATAAACAATAGGGGTCTTAATTTGCCTGAACCCATCCTACATGCAAAATTTCCTGAAGAGTGGTCCATAACTGTGACCTATATCGTGTTTACAAATTATAATGGGCAGACGGACAAACGGACAGATGGACACACATGTCTAGATCGACTCAGCTAGTCGAGATATTTCGCGGCGTTACAAACTCTTGGGTCTGCACAAAGCTACAATACCCTGACAACATAGTTGTGTAGGGTATAAAAATCCAATTTTTTAAACATTTTTATTTTTAAAGAATACCAAAGTCCGTCGATTTTTTAAATAATACCACAAAATTTAAAAAATAGCGATTTAAAAAAATTAACGACATAGCTTTTTAAAACAATTTGAGGTGGGTTATATTCGATTAATCCTTTTTGGATGACTCAAACCACCAAGTTGTCATCGGTGTCTATAGGGGCGGTACCCACGGACTGCATGATATCCGTGCGGCCGCCAACAAAAGGCTTGGATTAAAAAAAAATAATAAAGGCTTGGTTTTTTTTTTAAATTTCAAAGCCTTGGAATTTTAAACAAAATTAATTTTAAGGCCTGCATTTAAAAAAATTAAAGCCGTAAATTTAAAAAAAAAATTAAAAGCGTGGATTTTATTGAAGAAAAAGTTGAAGTCGTGGATTTAAAAAAAAATAATAATAAAGGAGTAGATTAAAAAAATAAACATGCATTTTTTAAAATAGTTTTTAAAAATATTTTGTTTTTTAATAAATTCAAGAAGGTGTGCATTTTTTACAAATATTTTAAAAATACTGTATGACACATAACATTGTATTATCTTTGTATATTTACATTAATAAAAAATATATTTTGATTTATTTCTCGTTTCAGATTACTGTGTGGAATAAAATAGACGCCTAAAGGTATGCTTTAGTTTTTATTAATTTAAAAAGGCAAATCACATTTGCATGGGAGTAATATATTGTAAACAATTATTTTTTATTCTCGATTTTAATTTTTCAAGATTTTCAATGGGCTGGTAAATCAATACCAATGCTTGTTAATGTTTGTAACTTTGCACATATATATTTGAAGATATATTTGAAGATACAAAAACAAATTTGTTATTGTTTTTTGTAATTAATGAAAAGTCTTCATTTTTGATGGCGGGCTTGATAACTCCTCACTGTAACATCGGAATCCGAAAATTCCAACGGTGTTAGAAAGAGTACGTGTCTGGCTCTGAATGTATGAACTAGGGTTATTGACTTCGCTCTAAAATTAACAAAAATGACGGACCTTTGAACAAATATTTTTGGAAAATCGCCGATTGTTGACCAAAAACCAATTTAAAAAATAAATAAGATCTTCACCGATTGGCTTTATCCTAGTACACACGATAGCTATACACTCACAGAGAAACGTGTAAAAATTTGGAACCGATTGGGTTATTAGTTTTTGAATTATCGTGTCCGCCATTCGCGAAAGAGAAAAACGCGTTTAAAGTTTGAGAAGCCCTTTATCGGTCACTTGATGCTGACACAATAAATCGGCTATATCTTCAAGAGTTCTTGAGATTTTCACTTGACATTTTGTAGGGACATTCTTGAATTAGTGTAGATTCGAATTAAATAAAAAAAAAAAAAAAATGTTGACCCCGGGAATAGGGGGGTCCCCTTAAACGTAGCTGGAATTTTCAAATTGGTGTTTCAGATTAAAATTTATTTTTATACCCTTCACAACACCGCGGCACGTGGTATTATGTTTTGTGCATATGTTTGTAACAGGCAAAAGGAAACGAGATAGACACATGATTTCTTTTGAGAATATGCATAGAATCACTTTCTGAGTCGATTTACGCATGTCCGTCTGTCGGTCCGTTCGTCTGCCTGTCCGTCCATGTATTTTTGTGAATAAAGTACAGGTCGCATTTACGATCCGATTTGGATAAAATTTGGCATAGGTCACTTATTTGGCCCAAGGACGAACCCTTTGAAATTGGGAAAAATCGGTTCAGATTTAGATATAGCTCCCATATATATTTTCGTCGGATTTAATGTAAATGGTGTACCAAAGTCCCTATATATCTTCCGATTTGCACTAAATTTGGCACAGCGTAATGAATTAGGTATAGAATGATGTGTGCTAAGTTTCCTGAAAATCGGTTCAGATTTAGATATAGCTCACATATATATTTTCGTCCGATGTAATGTAAATGGTCCATCAAAGTCCCTATGTATATTTCGATTTACACGAAATTTGGAACAGCGTAATGAATTAGCTCTAGAATGATGAGTGTTTACGTTTTCTGAAACCGTTGATATCGATTCAGATTTAGATATAGCTTCTATATCTGACCAAATGAACAATTTAGTATAGGTTGCAGAATGATATGTTTATGGATCCAATTTCATTTTACTGGTCCTTTAAAAATGCGACGTTTGCTAGGATTCATCGGTTGAATATACCCAAAGTGGTAAAGGATATCATATAGTCGGCCGACTTTACTACTTTCCTTACTGGTTTCAATTGAAATTGACAGAATACTCAAAATAGGGGTACCTTTGTATGGGGGCTACCAGAAAACGTGGACCTACCTACATACATAAATTTTTGCATGGACATTTGGTACCCAAAAAGAACACTCTGTGCCAAATTACAGCCAATTTGGTTGTAAAATGTGTCTAATAGACAAAAAATACCTTAAATCGGGAGGTAGGAATATAGGGGGGCTATATCAAAACTTGGACCCAGGGACCCCATTTCGGATTTCTATATTTGCTTTGACATTAAAAACATGTATGCAAAATTTTGGCCGCCTATGTCAAGTGGTTCCGCAGTTAATGAGTTTATACCCAATTTTTGGGTAAAAACTCGGGTATTTACCCACGTCTTTAAATTATCGTAAAACTATCCATTCTAAATCGATTTGATAACAGAAACCCGGAAATAGTGTGTAAGATGCTGTATTACCGATTCAATATAGTAAATACCCAAATAAATACCCACAAATGGGTATTCACCCGGTATTTACTCACCCCTTCGATATTTACCCGGTAAATACCATCTCTAGGGATGATTAATACAAATACTCCCACGTCAAGGTGTTGAAATAAAATGATCCTATCCATAACAAAATTAAAATAAGCAATAAAAATACAATTTTTTATAAATTAAACTGGCCGACCACTGTTCATAAGGGTTCTATATTTTTATAATAATAAATTCAATTTTAAAATCCATTTAAATTCTATGTAGCTAGACGGTTTAGATTAAAAAAAAATAAACACAATTTGAAACACACCCCTCTTTATTTCACAGAGATTTGAAAATAAGTTTTCTAACAAACTTGAACTTTGTTCACCGTTCTACAATTATCAACAAAAAAATGTCTCGTGGTGGGGTTTCAAAAAATAAAACACCAATTTTTCCATTCAATTGTTTTTGTTAACACGAGCCCGCCTCCTCAGACATTCTAATAAACTTGTCTGACCTATTCTAATCAACAAAAAATTAAAAAAAATATATATTATTATAGGCTCAATAAAGTGTGGCTTCCTTTTTTCCAAAAAAAATGTGATTAAAAAAACACGTGTCGTTTCTTATTTTGTTTTTGGTTTCAAATATAATTTATTCTATAATTAAAAAATATATATGTAGCAAAAAAAATTATATGATAAGGACTTTCTTTTAATTGCAATAACAAAACGACCCTAGTTATTTTATATAAAAGCTAGCATTCGACAACACCGCACCATTTGTGTGGTCCATGTTGTGTGAGTTTTGAACTTTTTTAAGACACCACACAGTTCAAAATAATAAAACAAAATTATTAACAATAAATATGTATGGGTGTATTTATGAAGAGCCTGTGGGTATTGGGTGTGTTGGATGAATGGTTGTTTGGTATCCCTTATCCTCTAATGTTCGGATTCTTCAAGATATTTATTGTATTGCTCCTCCGACATGAGTTTATCCAATTCAGCGGGATTTGAGAGTTTGATTTTGAAAAGCCAACCTGCAAAAAAGATAGGGAAAAGAATAAGGAAATTAATAAAAATTGGAAATTTAAAAACAATGAATAAAAAAATTGATACAATGAAGCAAAATAATAAAAGAAAAATCGTCGTTATGTTCGACCGAACCGGTAGAATTTTTACCCTACTTCATGCAATACATATATTGGTCGGAATCATAAAATGAATTATTATGTGAGAATAAAATGGTGTCACATTGTAAGCTTAATTTGAAAATTCTGCTAGAACCTTCAAAATATTGAAATGGATCACTTGGGTCAGGAAATTCCGTAGCACCTTAAGAATACAAAAAAATTAGCGAGACTTGTATATGGGTAATAGGTCAAAACATGCATATCTCTCATGAATTCGGACAATGCCGGTTGGGCAATGCACAAAGAACCAACAAAATACCTATATTGGTGTAAGTCCTTTGTATTTGGGGCTATACTTAAACATGAACCTATATTGATCATTTATACTAAGCATATTTTCCACTCAATGAGCCAGAGATTTATCTATCAATGATGAATTCGACACCTAACTTTATCCCTATCAGGGGTTATATCTTCTTCCTTAAAATTTGTTTTTAAAGAATTTTCGTCACAATAGACCCACTTTTTTTAAAAGAATCCACAGCTTTGATATGCCATTGAAAAACCCTCGCCTTTGTCTCTTAGAAAATATTTCAATAATACACGCCTGTCTACAGCCTTTAAAAAAACAGTAAGGAATGTAGTAATGTCGGACTGGGCCGACTATATGATACCCTTCACCACTTTGAGTATATTCTACATAGCCTCCTAACAGACGTCGCCTTTAGTTCACCATTTACATTAAATCGGACGAACATATATATGGGAGCTATATCGAAATCTGAACCGATTTCCGTAAAACTAAGAATACATCATTCGAAATATATTTAGGGACCCCATTTACATAAAATCGGACGAAAATATATATGGGAGCTATATCTAAATCTAAACCGATTTCCACGAAACTTAACACACATCATTATATACTCAATTCAGTACGCTATGCCAAATTTCGTGCAAATCGAAATTTATTCAAGAACTTTGGGGCACCATTTACATTAAATCGAACGAAAATAAAGATATTTAGGGACTTTGGCGCCGCATTTACATAAAATCGGAAGAAAATGTATATGGTTGCTATATCTAGATCTGAACCGATTCCGCAAAACTAAGCACCCATGATTCTAGACTTAATTTAGTATGATATGCCAAATTTCGGCAAATCAAAATATATTTATGGACATTGGCGCACCATTTGCCTTAAATCGGACGAAAATTTATATGGGAGCTATATCTAAATCTGAACTGATTTTCACGAAACTTAATACACATCATTCTAGACATAATTCATTACGCTGTGCCAAATTTCGTGGAAATCGAAAGATATATAGGGACTTTGGTACCCAATTTACATTAAATCAGACGAAAATATATATGGGAGCTATATCTAAATCTGAACCGATTTTCACGAAACTTAACACACATCATTCTAGACTTAATTTAGGTACGCTATGCCAAATTTCGTGCATATTGAGATATATATAGGGACTTTAGTTCACCATTTACATTAAATCAGACGAAAATATATATGGGAGCTATATTTAATCTTAACCGATTTCCGCGAAACTAAGCAACCATCATTCTAGACTTAATTTAGTATGCTATGCCAAATTTCGTGCAAATCGAAAGATATTTAGGGACTTTGGCGCCCCATTTACATTAAATCAGACGAAAATATATATGGGAGCTATATCTAAATCTGAACCGATTTTCACGAAACTTAGCACACATCATTCTAGACATAATTCATTACGCTGTGCCAAATTTCGCGGAAATCGAAAGATATATAGGGACTTTGGCGCCCCATTTACATTAAATCGGGCGAAAATATACATGGGAGCTATATCTAAATCTGAACCTTGGGCCAAATAAGTGAGCTGTGCCAAATGTCATCCTTTATTTACAATTTAACATGAACAGACGGACATGCATAAATCGACTCAGAAAGTGATTCTAGGCATATTCTCAAAAGGAACCATTAGTCCATCTCGTGTCCTTTTGCCTGTTACAAACACATGCACAAAGACATAATACCTCGAAACACAGTCTGGTGAATGGTATAATAAAAAAATTCACGCTTTTAAGGGAATATTATTAAACAATACACACCGGTCTACAGCCTTTAAAATATTTTTATAAAGTCCATGCCTCTCTAAAACCCTTAGAAAATATTTTTCAATATCCACGCCTGTCTAGAACCTTTAGAAAATGATTAAAAGAATTTCACGCCTGTCTAGAACCCTTAAAACATTTTAAAAATTCTGCGCTGGTATAGAACCGATAAAAATATTTTTTAAAAATCCAGGCCTCTCTATAGCTTTAGAAAATATTTAAAAAAATCTACGCCTTTAAGGGAACCTTCGAAAATATCAAAAAAATTCACAACTCCGTCCTTCACTTACCATCTGTATAGGTGTGAGTATTGATCAGACCGGGTGTATCTTCAACTTTGGCATTCTTTTCGGTTACTTCACCACTGACGGGACAATATACTTCACTGGCAGCCTTAACACTCTCCAAGGCACCACATTCATCGCCCTGTTTGAAAACGGTACCAGGTTCTGGCAATTGGGCAAAGACAACATCACCCAAGGCTTCTTGGGCATATTTGGAAATGCCAACGGAGGCAGAGGTACCATCAACTGAAACCCATTCATGTTTTTCGGTATAACGGCGTTCTGCAAAATAAAAAAAAGATAAAATATTTTATTTCTACAATCTGGCAACATTGTTGTGGATAAAAAAAATATATTAATAAAAACAATGAGAAAATCAGCTGATTTTTGCAAAATCTGTTCTGTTTGTGATGTTGAGGGTTATGCAGCCGGCAAGGCAGCGCCATTTCCCTGTTGCATAAAAACACAAATTTCGATTTTTTCACATTTTGTTCTCTTTTTTTATTATCTTCTTCTGTTCTGTCTCACCTGCATTCAATAGACTAGAAACACTGAATAGCCGGACATTTTGCAAATGTTTTGTTGATGACTGCAACACCTTTTGCGATTGTTGCAGGGCACGGGCGAATCTGACAATCATAACCATTTTGTCTAAAAAAATAAATTCACTTTTGTTTCTTGTCGGAATTGAATTGAATTTTTTTTCGGCAAACGAAGTCCAAGTCCAGTGGGGTCGACACACAAACGCCAGTCTCAACGATCCAAACACAAATGTGACTTGTCGTTGACTTTTTTCCGTCTTCAAGTATTCTGTGGCTCTTCGATGGACGTACGTTTGTTTTTGCACTGACAGCACACACTCACACACGCGTACACATTCAACGAAAACACACGCACACATTCAGTTGTCATTCACATTCAGCGCCAAGATTCTATTTCGATTTTGTAACGTCGCGATGGCTATGTCGTGCGCTATCAGTTAATCGCCGACTTTTCGGAAAATTTGAACTTGCACCGTCTGTGGGGTTATCATTTTTGAATTTGGAGGGAGAGAAACATGAGGTATGTATGTTTTAATTTTTTTGTTGCTTGAGGAAATATAAAATCTTTTTCAAAATTTGTTTATCTATATTTTTCAGATTTTTCTTTGGGTTTTACTTTCGTAACATACTTGTAAAAAAAATTTAAGAATCATGTGTGTCACCCTGTTTGTCTTTGATATAAAATGGATAAAGATATCCGAATCAGAAACATGGAAATATTGACAGATAGATGTCTCTCCATAGCAGTAAGAGGAAACCCGGAAGGTCAATTAGATCATAAGATGGGGATATCAAAATACAATTCTATGTCGATTTGGCCATGTCCATGAGCCTGGTTGTTGAAATCACGACAGAGTTCATCTATACATATATAAAAAAGAGCTTTGATATTTTGCACAGACATTGCTGCAGTTCGTAGGAAGTTTGGTTTTGAAAATGGAATACATCGGTTCACAGTTCGTCTTCGAGCGGCTCACAAGAAAGACGCATTTAAAGAGATAATCACGCCTACCGGCTTAAAAAAATTACAAAATGGCGCTGTGTTAAGCTTTCGCTTGACTTGCCACGTGTTTTATCTATTGAACTAAACGAAAATATAAGAAAATCTCGTTATATATGATATATGGTCCTATACCTTCTATTTTAATAGAAAGTGGACTAACTGGAGGAGGACCTGCCTCCAGTATTTAAAGAGAGAGAAAAAAGCTAGGCTACCATGGCGTAACAAGTCCTCCTACCAAAAATGATCAATATTGATCCAGTTTTTGGGGTAGTCCCCTATAGAGCCACCTCTGATATTTCGATATTTTTTCAACCAAATCGGCTGTAATTTTATATTTTAAGAATCTCATTGGGTAGCAGTTCGTAGGAAGTTTGATTTTGAAAATGGAATACATCGGTTCACATGGTACACTTTTAACTATATAAGGTGGGCTATCCAGTTCGTCTTCGGACGGCTCACAAGAAAGACGCATTTAAAGAGTTAATCACGCCTACCGGCTTAAAAAATTACAAAATAGCTTTCGCTTGACTTGTCACGTGTTTTATCTATCGAACTAAACGAAAAATATAAGAAAATCTCGTTACATGTATGATGTATGGTCATATACCTTCTATTTTAATAGAAAGTGAACTAACTGGAGGCGGACCTGGCTGCCAGTATTTAAAGAAAAAGAAAAGTAGGTGGGCTATCGTGGCGTAACAAGTCCTCCTACCAAAAATGATCAATATTGACCCACTTTTTAGGGTAGTCCCCTATAGAGCCTCCTCTCATATTTCAATATTTTTCAACCAAATCGGCTGTATATATTTTAAGAATCTCATTGGGTAGCAAATCACCCTAGAAGAAATTTTCAATATAGGCCCAAGTTTCTGTACAACCCCCATATAATGGGACATCGCTATTATCGTAATTTTGAGAATTTCAAACACGTTTTACCAACCGAGTTGACTGTAATTTAATATTTTAGGTTATAATTGGGTGGTGAATCTCCCTACTGGAAATGATCACTATTGGAATAAGTTTCAGGAAGTTTCCATATAACTGTACGCCAAAATATAGCAGAACATATTCATTATAGGTCTGTGTTTTGACATAGCTTCCATATATGTTGGAAGTGGCTGTAATATGGAATTTGGGGTTCTTGGAGGTATTAAAAAGTGGTATGTATGCTTTAATTTTTTCTGGCTTAAGGAAATATAAAATCTTTTTCCAATTTGTTTATCTACATTTTTAGATTTTTCTTGGGGTTTTATAGCCCCCATATACTAACTGTAAATCCTGGATTTCGGTGTATTGAATATTCAACCGCATTTTTAAATCGAAATGACTGTAATTTTGAATTCTGGGCCTTTTGGAGGGTGTAGAACGTTATTTCAAAAGATTCCTATGCATTACATAGCCCCCATATAAAGGTCCTGTCATATTTTCGATATTTCTATGTCCCATGGGGCACTTTGCATTGAAGTTGAAGGTTCCCACCCCATTTTAGGCATTTTTAAAGTCCAAGGGCAGTGTCTAGGAGAAGTGATTGTTGATATTTCTTTTTGTGGAGGGTATAAAAAGTTCAGTCCGGTTGAAGTGTTAAGGTGAAGGAGCGATTGGAACGTATTTCTCATGAGTGGGCTTTTGAAGATTATTTCTTCAGGTTGCGGATTATAGTAAAAAAAGTTTTTCTAAGTTCCAGGTCGAGGTCTATTTCAGCGAGGATTTTTAAATAATAATAACATAGAGAATAATTATAGAATATTAAACCGCATTTTTAAATCGAAGTGACTGTAATTTTGAATTCTGGGCCTTTTGGAGTTTGTAGAACGTCATTTCAATAGGTTCCTGTGCATGGCATAGCCTCCATATAAAGATCCTTGTTATATTTCCGATATTTCTATGTCCCATGGCTCACTTTTTCATTGAAGTTGAAGGTTCCCCTTCTGAGGGTACCGCCCCATTTTAGACATTTTTAAAGTCCAAGGGCATTGTCCAATAGAAGTGATTGTTGATATTTATTTTTGTGGAGGGTATAAACAGTTCGGTCCGGTTGAAGTTAAAGCCGTGTTAAAGTCAAGGAACGATTGGAAAGTATTTCTCATGAGTAGTTTTTTTTAAGATTATTTCTTCAAGTTGCTGATTATAGTAAAAAAAGTTTTCTAAAATCCAGGTCGGAGTCTATTTCAGCGAGGATTTTTAAATAATAATTTTTGAAGGTCTACCCGGCGTGGACTTGGAGAATAATTGAAGGTTCAACAAGTGTTGGATTTGTAAAGAATATTTTTTTGCTTGTCTATCCAAGCGTAGGGGCGTCAAGAATAGTTTTCAAGTTCTATCCAAACTCGGACTTTTAAAGACAATTTTTTCAAGGTCTATTCAAACGTAGATTTTTAAAAAATAATTTTTTAAGGTGTATGTTGTGGTGGATTTTTAAAGAATATTTTTTTCGGGTCCAACGAGGCTTGGATTTTTAAAGAATAATAATCAACGTCTATCTAAGCTTAGATTTTTAAAGAATATTTTTTTGAGAATGTATCCAAGCGTGGATTTTTAAATTATAAATTTTTGAAGGGATATCCCAGCGTGGATTTGTAGAATAATGTTTCGAAGGGGTATCCCAGCGTGGATTTGCAGAAAAATTTTTTAAGTTGTATCCCAGCGCAGATTTGGAGAATATTTTTTTTTCAAGGACCAACAAGACTTGGATGTTTAAAGAGGTAGACATTTAAAGAATAATTTATATTTATCGAAAATCGAAATTTTAAAAAATAATTTTTGCAAGGTCTCTCCAAGCTTGGATTTTTTAAGATAACTATTTTTAATTGTCAATTTAAATGTGGATTTATGGAAAATATTTTTTCAAGGTATATATCGACACATGTCTCCTTTTGAGAATATACATAGAATAACTTTCTGAGCCGATTTACGCAGGTCCGTCCGTCTGTACGTCCATGAATTTTTGTGAATACGCATCGGTACTCTCTAATTCGTTTTCGTATCTTCTTTCGCATCTAGTTTACGCAAATGTGGCATCACCGCACTCTGTAATACGAAAACGCATGTCAAACTCGTTCGTTAAGCGCAAATATCTTGCGTTAACAAAATAGCAAACGCAAAGGAAGGGAAACATATATGTAATCTCAATTAATTTTTTTATTTATATATAAATTGTAAATTATTTTAAGTAAAAGGCAAAAAAGTCGCAGTTGCAGACTCAGCAACGTCAGTTCCTAACTAAAGTAGATTTTATGGGGCAACACAGTGATTTGGCAAAGGGACAGTTGCAGAGTTCAAATGCGAAACAACGCGCCAACAATTTGTGGACAAAACTGTCTGATGACCTCAATTCAAATTGACCTCCTGTAAAAGATGTCGGTGGTTGGAAAAAGTAATGTATTATATTTTTTTATATAAAATGTGAAACTATGTGTGCATATTTACAGGTTGGTGTTGATAACCAGCTTGTCCAAGCAATTTCAAAGCAGCGGCCTCTTTTATTGGAGTTGGAATTGTTGTGGATCTATTTGGAAAGACGAGCGTTCAATAAATACATAAACGAATCTTTATTGAGACGAACATTTTGTATAAATCTACAAAAATTAAATATTTGAAAACGTTTGTCACATAATTCGTACTTCTATTTTAATACCCGTGGTCACTTAGGGAGAATATATTTGATCGATCTCATAAGATTCTTTTTTTTTTAATTCGTTCATCATTTTTGTTTAAAAAAACACTCGTACCACACAAAAATATGTTTTCATTTAAAATTTTTTGGTGTTTCCATTTGTCATTCTTCGTTATAGTTTACTTTGTGGCGACAGTGTTGCCCTATTTTCGATTTAGTTTGCGAATGCGTTTGCGTGAGCGTTACAGAGTACCAAATTGTACTCTTAACGCATTTAGCTTTCGCATCGCACTTGCTTTCGCAACGCAATGAAATTTGCCATAGGTGGCCCAAGGACGAACCCAAGTTTATTTTCGTCCGATTTAATGTAAATGGTGCACCAAAGTCCCTATATATATATATATTACAATTTGGTCTAGAATGATGTATGTTAAGTTTCCTGAAAATCGGTTCAGATTTAGATATAGCTCCCATATATATTTTCATCCGATTTAATGTAAATGGTGCACCAAAGTATCTATATATCTTTCGATTTGCACGAAATTTGGCACAGCGTAATCAATTAGGTTTAGAATGATTTATGTTAAGTTTCCTGAAAATCGGTTCAGATTTAGATATAGCTCCCATATATTTTCGTCCGATTTAATGTAAATGGTGCACCAAAGTCCCTATATATCTTTCGAGTTGCACGAAATTTGGCACAGCGTAATGAATTAGGTCTAGAATAATGTGTGTTAAGTTTCCTGAAAATCGGTTCAAATTTAGATATAGCTCTCATATATATTTTCGTCCGATTTAATGTAAATGGTGCACCAAAGTTCCTATATATCTTTCGATTTGCACGAAATTTAGCACAGCGTAATGAATTAGATCTAGAATGATGTGTTTTATGTTTCCTGAAAATCGGCTCAGATTTAGATATAGCTCCCATATATATTTTCATCCGAATGTAAATGGTCCACCAAAGTCCCCATATTTCTTTCGATTTGCACGAAGTTAGGCCTAGAATGATGTGTGTTAAGTTTCCTGAAAATCGGTTCAGATTTAGATATAGCTTCTATATCTGACCAAATGGAAAATTTAGTATCGGTTGCTGAATGACATGTTTATGGATACAATTTCATTTTACTGGTCTTTTAAAAATGCGACGTCTGTTATGATTCATCTGTTGAATATACCCAAAGTGGTGAAGGGTATCATATAGTCGGCCCCGTCCGACTTTACTACTTTCCTAACGGGTTTAAAAATAATTTTTTGAATGTCCAACAAGTTTTGGATTTTTAAAGATTATTTTTTTCTTAGCTTGGGGTTGTTTTTTTAGAACTATTACAAGCCAATGAACTTCGTACCTCCCAGAACCAAAAAAAAAAAGAAAAATAAAGTTTATGTTCCTTACATAATTGACGCAATTAGAAATGAAATATTATGGAAAAATTTATTGTAAACAAAAAAATAATCGCTAATTTTTTGCGAAAATAAATGCAAACATATTTACTTTCCATAAAATGAAAATAAAAAACGATTTAAACTTGAGCTGTACAATTTTGTTATCAGCTATAAAAAATATCATCTACATTTTTTTTTTATTATTTATAAAAAATGAAACTCTGCTGGGGACCATGTCAATTGGCCATCGTACGACGTAGACAGTCAAGACGGTCTTATCAACAAGCCTAGATAGAGACAGTCCCCAGAGCAAATTATAAAATTCAATATTTTAATCAATCAAGACCAGGACGGGGGAAATATTTTGTTTTTAATAATTATTTTTTATTATTATTAATTTATACTTAAAAACAGAAAACAAGTTATTTTTGTTGTATAGTTGAGGAACACAAATGGAAATAAGGCAAACAGTAGAAACGAAAACTAAAAATAAACTTTATTTCCGACTAACAATCTATTTTTTTACTGATACAAATTGCCACGATTCTGTGCTGCTCTCTGCATTGGTGGTGTATAATCGGGTGCTGGGAATGCACCCACCACAATTTGTGCTTCACCCTGCTCAGGGATAGTGGATTCCGGCCTCGAACGTGGTGGATACTGTTGGAAGTTGTCCAAGTTGCGGAAACGTCTTTCTTGGAATGAAACATCCTTGGAAAGGCGTGCAGCACGGCTAATTAAATCCTGATTGATGTTGAAATTATTTTCCGATGGTGAGGCATTATCGGGTACAAAGGCTTCATTGGCAAAGACAGTGGCCATTACTTCGGTCCTATTTGGGGGAGGGAAGAAAGAAGAAGTGATTTTAATACATAAAAATATGTTATGGATTTTGTTTCGATTTACTTTTGTTCTTCTTGATAGGCATTAATGGGTGGACGGGTAGCTAGAATATCATCCGAATCCTTGCGAGGCATGAAGAGATTGTCCTGAAAATAAAACAGAAAATAAATATGTCATGTCTTATCTAAGCGTATAGTAATAGTTTTTTTTTTAAGTCTGTCGAAGCGTATATTTTTAAGAATATTTTTTTTTAAGATCTACCCAAGCGTCAACTTTTGGCCTAGACATGTCAAAGCGTGAATTTTTTCAAGAATAACTTTTGTAATTTCTACCTAAACCTGGACTTTTAAAAAAGACTTTCTACACCTTTTTAAAGAAGACTTTTTCTACACCTTTCTAAGCGTGGATTTTTAAAGAATACCACCAGTATGTTGCGTATGAGTGTCGTCAACACTTATACGCCCCATAAAACCTTAATTAAGTTCCCATTACTGAAAAGTTTTTTTAGGAATATTTTTTACAAGATAATATTTTTTAGGGGTCCAATGAGAGTGTGTATTTATTAGTAACATTTTTAACAGCATATAAATATACTGAAATAACAAAATAGTTCCAACACAACGTAGATTTTTGTAAAGAATAATTTTTTCTCGATCCAAGGAATCTCCGGATTTCTACAAGATTTTAAGGTCCACGCAAACAATTTTTCAAGGTCTACCAAGGCTTGGATTTTTAATGAAGGGGGGTTTCAACGACTTTTTAGGCGTGGATTTTCAAAAAAAAAATGTTTCAAGGTCTATCTAGGCTTGGATTTTAAAATAAAAAATGTTTCATGGTCTATCTATGCTTCGAATTTTAATAAAGAATTTTTTGAAGGTCTCTCCAGGCGTGGATTTTTAAATAAAGAATTTTTTCAAGGTCTATCTAGGCTTCGAATTTCAATAAAGAATTTTTTGAAGGTCTATCCAGGCGTGGATTTTTAAATAAAGAATTTTTTCAAGGTCTATCTAGGCTTCGAATTTTAATAAAGAATTTTTTGAAGGTCTATCCAGGCGTGGATTTTTAAATAAAAAATGTTTCAAGGTCTATCTAGGCTTTGAATTTTAATAAAGAATTTTTTAAAGGTCTATACAGGCGTGGATTTTATTGTTTTCAAGTTTTATCTAGACCCGGTTTTTTTAATAATAAATTTTTCCAAAGTCTATCAAGGCCTATTTAATCGTCAAACTTTAAAGAATCCCACCAGTTGCAATGTTGCGTATGAGTAACGACAACAGTTATACGCCCCATATAACCTTTGTCAAAAGTTCGATTTACTGCAACTGATCATGGATTTTTTTTTAAAGAAAAAAAATTTTGAGGGCTCTCCAAGCTTGGATTTTTAAGGAATAATCAGTTGGGGGCTTTCCAACGGTGGATTTTTAAAGAATAATCTTTTGAAGGCTTTCCAAGCGTGGATTTTTAACGAATAATATTTTGAGGGCTTTCCAAGCATGGATTTTTAAAGAATAATCTTTTGAGGGCTTTCCAAGCTTTGTTTTTTAAAGAATAATCTGTTGGGGCTTTCCAACGGTCGATTTTTAAAGAATAATCTTTTGAGGGCTTTCCAAGCGTGAATTTTTAAAGAATAATCTTTTGAGGGCTTTCCAAGCGTGGATTTTTAAAGAAGAATGTTTTGAGGACTTTCCAAGCTTGTATTTTTTAAAAAAAATAATCATTTGAGGGCTTTCCAAGCGTGGATTTTTAAAGAATAATCTTTTGAGGGCTTTTCAAGCGTGGATTTTTAAAAAATAGTTTTTTTTAATGCCAAAAAGAAGCGTCGAAGCCGTGAATTTTTATAGAATAATATTTTAAAATGCTGCGTGAATATTTAAATAATATTATTTTAAAGTCTATTTTAGTGTGGATTTTTAATGAAAAAAATTTCAAAGTCAATCTATGCCTGGAATTTTTAAGAATACAATCAGGTGTAATGATGCGTATGAGTAACGACAATAGTTATACGCCCCATAAAACCTTTATTAAAATGTTTGAGTTACTGAAACGCTTTTAATTATTTTTAAAATAATTTTTTCATGAACCAACAAGAAATGGATTTTAAGTGGACAAACTTTTTGGAATCGAAAGAAACCGTGGTTTTTAAATGAACAGTTTTTCAAGGTACTAAGAAAGCGTAGATTTGTAAAATAGATTTTTAAGGTTCAAAAAAAAATTTCAAATAATATTTTCCCAAGGCCTATCTAAGCGTGGATTTTTAAAGAATAAAAAAGATTTTAGAATTTTGTAGAATTATAGGCTTATCTAAGCTAAGATTCTTAGACAATTTTTAAATGACAATGTCTTAACAATGCTGCTTATAAATATAGTTGCGTATGTGTAACGTCAATAGTTATACGCCGCATAAACCCGTAATAAAAATCTATAATATTTCTGAAATGATTTAATAAAAGCTAGTCTAGTATTTTTTTTTTTAATTTTTGAGACATATCGAATCTATGTGTCTGACCCCCTTTTAATCGCTTCCATTCACATTCAAAATTCTTCCGTTTACAAAAAGTGCGGTGAAGGCTTATCAATTTGGCAGACTGTGTAGCATTCCATATGTTGGAGTATATGTGTGTGTGTTACGTACACCTATACAAATAAAGTGTGTAGTATATTTTATTGTATATAAATAATAATAAATATTTTTATCGACATTAAATATTGGGGGGAACTGATAGTCACTTGTTAATCAGCAGGTCTGATATGCCGCAAAAAAAAAAAAAAATGAACACGGTACGAAGAGTTAACATTTCAAAGGTATTTAAAAATAAATATTAAAATTGCAAAATTAATCATAGCTGTCTTTGTTGTTTTTTTATATAAAAATAAAAAAATAATACAAATAAAATATTTCAGCGGAAATGTGAGATTTGTTGAATTGAGTCCACGATATTTTTTTGCGTTTTTTTCTATACAATGACTAAGTTTGATTTTTACGAAGTTAGTCGGTATTAGTACCCTTCTCTTTCTCTCTCTCTCTTTCTATTGTTTTATGGGGGTATTTTTTTTTGTTTTAGAATAGCCCATGATGTCATAAGTCCAGAATGTTTGTCAACTATAAATTGTTTTATTTAATCGCGCACATAGACCACCCACACCCCTACCCCCTTGTCCTACTTACCGCACCATCGTTATCATTAATAATCCAAATGCTTCGCATCAGCAAATAAACAGCAAGACCCACGTTCACAATCCAAAAAACGAAACCTTTGAAGGAGAGCAACATCATCGACATCGATGCAACCATGGCAGCTAGAACTTGTGCAGCTTGTGGTTGTAGTTCTCCGGCATAAGCGGAACTTAAATTATATTCTTCAGCTTCCTTTTGGAAACGTCCATAATCAATGCCAAAAATGATGCCCAAAGCCAAATCCATACCAGAAACGATCATGGTGATGATGACCCAGGTCATGAGAACACCAGCTGTATTTTTGCGATTGTCCTTGGTGACATCTGGAATGAAGGGGAGAAAAATCGGGAGATATAAAAAAATAATAATAATAATTAAAAAAATCAAGTCCAATGGATAGAACGGATTTTAATCATTATTTTTGTATTAATTCCAATTATATTTAGAAGGTCAAATAGGTTGCGTATATGTAACGTCAACAGTTATACGCTCCACAAAACCTTAAATAAAAAATCGTTTTACTTAAAGTGATTTTGAAATTGGTTTGAATACGTTTTTCAAAGACATTTTAAGCGTGGATTTTTAACGACAAAATTTTTCAAGTGCCAATTAAAACGCCGATCTTTAAACCTCAATGTTTATATAAATGTGAATTTTTATTTTATAAGTGTGTTTTTAAAAGAATATTATTTCAAGGCCCTAAAAAAGTGTGGATGTTCGACCTGTCGAAGCGTGAATTTTAGACAAGACCTATCTAAGCGTGGATTTTTAAAGAAGAACTTTTGTAATGTCTGTCCAAGTATGGATTTTTAAGAGAAGACTTTTTCAAGACCTTTCTAAGAGTGGATTTTTCAGAGAATACTTTTTCAAGACCTTTCTAAGCGTGGATTTTTCAAAGAAGACTTTTTCAAGACCTTTCTAAGCGTGGAATTTTCAAAGAAGACTTTTTCAAGACCTTTCTAAGCGTGGATTTTTCAAAAAAGACCTTTTTAAGCATGAATTTTTCAAAGAAGACTTTTTCAAGACCTTTCTAAGCGTGGGTTTTTCAAAGAAGACTTTCTCAAGACCTTCCTAAGCGTGGATCTTTCAAAGAAGTTTTTTTCCAGACCTTTCTAAGCTTGGATTTTTCAAAGAAGACTTTTTCAAGACCTTTCTAAGCGTGGATTTTTCAAAGAAGACTTTTTCCAGACCTTTCTAAGCGTGGATTTTTCAAAGAAGACTTCTTCAAGACCTTTCTAAGCGTGGATTTTTCAAAGAAGACTTCTTCAAGACCTTTCTAATCGTGGATTTTTCAAAGAAGACTTTTTCAAGACCTTTCTAAGAACTTTTGTAATGTGTATCCAAGTATGGATTTTTAAAAGAAGACTTTTTCAAGACCTTTCTAAGAACTTTTGTAATGTGTATCCAAGTATGGATTTTTAAAAGAAGACTTTTTCAAGACCTTTCTAAGAGTGGATTTTTCAGAGAATACTTTTTCAAGACCTTTCTAAGCGTGGATTTTTCAAAGAAGACTTTTTCAAGACCTTTCTAAGCGTGGAATTTTCAAAGAAGACTTTTTCAAGACCTTTCTAAGCGTGGATTTTTCAAAAAAGACCTTTTTAAGCGTGAATTTTTCAAAGAAGACTTTTTCAAGACCTTTCTAGGCGTGGATTTTTCAAAGAAGACTTTTTCAAGACCTTTCTAAGCGTGGGTTTTTCAAAGAAGACTTTCTCAAGACCTTCCTAAGCGTGGATCTTTCAAAGAAGTTTTTTTCCAGACCTTTCTAAGCTTGGATTTTTCAAAGAAGACTTTTTCAAGACCTTTCTAAGAACTTTTGTAATGTGTATCCAAGTATGGATTTTTAAAAGAAGACTTTTTCAAGACCTTTCTAAGAGTGGATTTTTCAGAGAATACTTTTTCAAGACCTTTCTAAGCGTGGATTTTTCAAAGAAGACTTTTTCAAGACCTTTCTAAGCGTGGAATTTTCAAAGAAGACTTTTTCAAGACCTTTCTAAGCGTGGATTTTTCAAAAAAGACCTTTTTAAGCGTGAATTTTTCAAAGAAGACTTTTTCAAGACCTTTCTAGGCGTGGATTTTTCAAAGAAGACTTTTTCAAGACCTTTCTAAGCGTGGATTTTTCAAAGAAGACTTCTTCAAGACCTTTCTAAGCGTGGATTTTTAAAGAATGCCATCAGGAGGCATGTTGCGCATGAGTGTCGTTAACACTTATACGCCCCATAAACCCTTTATTAAAAAGTTCCCATTACTGAAAACTTTTTAGGAGTATTTTCATGTGTGAATTGTTAAAGATATTGTTTTACAAGATAATATTTTCAAAGGATGTGTATATTTATTAGCAATACTTTTTTTTACATCTTTGGAAAGAATATATTTTCAGTGACCAACAAAGCCTAGATTTTCTAAAAGGCCATTCATAAACAGGAAATTTTGGAACCATTTAGGTCAAAAGTCCTCAAATGGGTCGTTTTCTATAGTTTTGATAACATACAAAGGCAAAAGCTTATTCTATATACAGTAGACCCTCTAGACAGCCTTCATAGATATATAAGGTCCTTATGTATGTAGGTATTTCATAGTAAAGTGACCTTCTAGAGGTCACTATTATATCTTCTAAATTATTTTCTACTTACACAATAATATCAATGTCGAGGCGATTAACCAACACACGGCCACGCCCAAATAAACACTATCCCATATTAGAATATCAGTTGGATTCAAAATAGTTTTCGTTTGGATGAATTCATTCTGATAGGCTGGAAATGCATCGGGACTACAGCTATCCGATTTGAAATAGAGTGCCATAAATATTGTCGGTATAACGGAGGCATAATTGAAGGTGCCATTGATATTGATGACACAATTATACGAGACAATGCCGACAATTGTCAAAGCAATAAAGAGCAGGGATTGAAACTGTAAAGAGAGAAAAAAGGAGGGAAAATAAAATAAAAAAATCAGTTCGAAATGTAAGAAATTAAATTAAGAAATAAATAAATATAAAAATATAAAATTAAATCAGATTTTCCTTCGTCGATTTTTAAAGGTAATCAAAGCGTGAAATCTCATTTTATTTGGTGGAATGTGGCTGCGTATGAGTAATATCAACAGCTCCATAGATATTTATTTGCACGTGAAATAAATTTTTTAGAGGTCCAAAGAGGTGGTTAATTTTTAAAGAATAACTTTCCAAGGCCTTTCGATGGATAGGCCTTATGAGTCCTGCTATTTTCGATAATCCAAACAGGCGAATATTTTTAAAGAAAATTGTTTATACACTCAGTCTTATGACTAATGAGGGTATATACATTTTGATACGTTGAAAATATGACTCATCGTAATATTGGTTTTAGATCCCATGTTTCTTTGGACCAAATACGTTTCCGAAAATTTGGAGTCTGTCTGGCTGGTGCTCGAAGGCAGCAACTGATTTCATTCAAAATTTGCACTTCTTAATATTTCTTTCAAAATTGGTTTATGTTCGAAGATGGGGAATATCGGGGTCTGTCTGTCTGGCTGGTGCGCACGATAACTCTCGCTCAGCAACTGATTTCATTTAAAATTTGCACATCATAATATTTCTTTAAAACTTGGTTTAAGTTCGAAGATGGGGAATATCGGTTAACACCTTCTGGTACCTCTCCCACAAAATGATCAAACTTGTGCTAAAAATTAATTTTATAATAACATGCAAACGGACTATTCGATTTTAACGAAGCTTTGTACAATCTATTATCTTTACCAAGCCTAGAAGTTTGAAGATGAGAACCATTGGTCCACTCCGTCTGGTACCACCCCCACAGAGGGTGAACATTTTCAGTATTTATAATACCAATACCAAGCTAATGGGATGGCCGATTTGAACCAAACTTTGCACAACCTATTAAGTTTACCAAGCCTAGATCAAGTTTGAAGATGGGACTCATTGGTCCACTCTTTCTGGCACCTCCCCCACAAAATGTTCAAAATTTTGCTAAAAATTCATTTTATAATAACATGCAAGGGGACTATTCGATTTTAACGAAGTTTTGTACAATATATTATCTTTACCAAACCTAGATCAAGTAGGAAGATGGAACCCATTGGTGCACTCTTTCTGGTACCTCCCCCACAAAATATTCAAAATTATGCTAAAAATTAATTTTATAATATCATGCAAACGGACTATTCGATTTAACAAAGCTTTGTACAATCTATTATCGTTACCAAGCCTAGATCAAGTAGGAAGATGGGACCCATTGGTCCACTTCTTCTGGTACCTCCCCCACAAATGGTCAAAAATGTCAATATTTGTAAATCCAATATCAGGCGAATGGAATATCCGATGTGAAACAAACTTTGCACAACCCATTATCTTTGCGAAGACTAGATTAAGTCCGAAGATGGCTCCCATTGGTCCACTTCTTCAGGTACCTCCCCCACAAATGGTCAAAAATGTCAATATTTGTAAATCCAATATCAGGCAAATGGAATGTCCGATGTGAACCAAACTTTGAATAACCCATTATCTTTACGAAGTCTAAATTAAGTCCAAAGATGGGACCCATTGGTCCACTCCTTCTGGTACCTTCCCCACAAATGTTCAAAAATGTCAATATTTGTAAATCCAATATCAGGCGAATGGAATGTCCGAGGTGAACCAACAACTATTATCTTTGCGAATACTAGATTAAGTCCAAAGATGGGACCCATTGGTCCACTCCTTCTGGTACCTCCCCCACGACTGGTAAAAATTTTTAATATTTATAAATGCAACATCAGGCGAATGAAATGTAATATTTCAACCAAAGCTTGCATAACCTATTATCTTTACCAACCCTATATCAAGTCCGAAGATGGGACCCAGTAGTCTATATATAATGTTAATAATGTGTAGTTCCGAAGACCTTCGCAACATCGACGGACACTTTTTTACTTGTTTTTGCTCCAAAATATTAAACGATATTTTATTTCTCGACAAAAGAAGGCATGGATTTTTAAAGAATAATTTTTTCTTGGTCCAAAGAATTTTAAGGAGTATTTTTTTTCTCGACAAATGCATTTTTTCCTTGATCAAAGAATTGAAGAATAATATTTATTTCCAACTACAAAGAAGGCAAGGTTTTAAAAACTAATTTTTTATAACTCAAAAAAGGCGTGGACTTAAAACAAACCCATTTTTTTCCACCTCCTAAGAAGGAGTTGAATAATATTTTTCCAGTTCCTGCAAGGTTTGAAAAAATATTTTTTATAGCTCCAAAGAAGGCGGGGATTAAAAAATAAAAAAAAAATTCCACATCCAAGGAGGACAAGGTTTTGGAAAATATTTTTGTAGCTCCAAAAAGAAGTTGATTTAAAAAAAAATTTTTCTACCTATATGACTTATGAGGGTTATTGGCAACCTATATATGTGATGTGGTCTCTGTTACATATAATTCCATGTGAAAATAAAATACAGTTATTTTATTTTCAAAAAAAATTTTAAATTTTAATTTTTTGACTTCAAAAAAAGTGTAGATTTTTTTAAGAATCATTTTTTAAAGTCTTCCTAAGTCTCAGATTTCTAGAGAATAATGTTTTCATGGTCTACCCGAACGTCGATTTGAAATCATATGTCTTCGAGACAATGTAAAACTGCATTCTTCATGAATAACACCTGACGCAATGTTGCGTATGAGTAACGTCAATACTTATACGCGCTATAAAACCTTCTTAAAAATAGTACCTTTAAATTCAAAAGTCTCCAGAAGCCAGGTGAACTTTTTGGGAATTGTTTACCACGAATCAGGTATTTTTTTGTAAAAATATTGTAATTTCAATTTAGGTCTATAAAAAATGACTAATTCGCCTTTTGTGGACATTATATCAGGGACAATGATGATGAGCCATTCGACAGACAATTTATTCATATTAATCATGAAAAACCCCACTGACGTTATAGATATATATATATATATATATTCTTTGTTGTTGAGTAAATTTTTCACTCTATCATAAATCGATACAGATAAGATTACACAAAAGCGAAGAACAGAAAAAAACATTTGCAAAGAGAGAACGCACTTCATTTTTGATTTCAACACCTGTAATACTAGATTAATATCCATCAAAAATTATTCTGATTGCTAAAGATTATATTTCGAAATAATTCCAAAATAAACTGTGGTTTTTCAAATATATATACCCTATTATTTATTTTTGGGAAAGGGAATAATTGCAATAAAAGTTCTTTATTAAAAATGAATAAGGTTCTTTACCCGAACACCCACAGGACACGTGGGTCTATGACAAAGTTTTTTTATTTGTTTTTTTTTATCAATTGTGCCTGTGCAAATTGGGGGGGTAAGAGGTACCATTGAGTGGTAAGAGAGCCATCTGAGGTTCTGAAAATACTCACATCATCCAAAATTCAAAAAAAAAAAATCCAAATTAATTCATCAATGACAGTTTCATGATAAACATTTACAACTGAACGGATTTTTTCAATGTAGATGTTTTGGAAAATATATATGTACTTATACATATATCTCAGGGTTACCCATGTTTTTTTCCGGACGTATCATTCTTTACTTCTGTGTGACAGGGTATTATGTCTTTGTGCATATATTTGTAACAGGTAAAAGGAAACGAGATAGACACATGGTTCATTTTGAGAATATGCATAGAATCATTTTCTAAGTCGATTTATGCATGTCCGCCTGTCTGTCCGTCTGTCTGTCCATGTTAAATTGTAAACAAAGTACAGGTCGCATTTAATATCCCATTTGTATGAAATTTGGCACAGCTCATTTATTTGGCCCAAGGACGAACCCTATTGAAATTCGGAAAAATCGGTTTAGATATAGCTCCCATATATATTTTCGTTCGATTTAAGGTAAATGATGCACCAAAATCCCTATATATGCTTCGATTTGCACGAAATTTGGCACAACGTACTAAATTAAGCCTAGAATGATGTGTGCAAAGTTTCGTGAAAATCGGATCAGATTTAGATATATCTCCCATATATATTTTCGTCCGATTTAAGGTAAATGATGCATCAAAGTCCCTATATATCCTTGGATTTGCACGAAATTATTCCAAGAATGAAGTGTGGTAAGTATCGTGAAAATCGGTTCAGAGTTAGATATAGCTCCTATATATATTTTCGTCCGATTTAAGGTAAATGGTGCATCAAAGTCCCTATATATCCTTCGATTTGCACGAAATTTGGCACAGTGTACTGAATTATGCCAAGAATGATGTGTGGTAAGTTTCGTGAAAATTGGGTCAGATTTAGATATAGCTCCCATATATATTTTCGTCCGATTTAAGGTAAATGATGCATCAAAGTCCCTATATATCCTTGGATTTGCACGAAATTTGGCACAGTGTACTGAATTATGCCAAGAATGATGTGTGCAAAGTTTCGTAAAAATCGGTTCAGATTTCGATATAGCTCCCATATATATTTTCGTCCGATTTAAAGTAAATGGTGCCCCAAAGTCCCTATATATACTTCGATTTGCACGAAATTTGGAACAGCGTGCAGAATTAAACCTAGAATGATGTGTGCTAAGTTTTGTGAAAATCGGTTGAGATTTAGATATAGCTCCCATATATATTTTCGTCCGATTTAAGGTAAATGGTGCACCAAAGTTCCTATATTTCTTTCGATTTGCACGAAATTTGGCACAGCGTGCAGAATTAAACCTAGAATGATGTGTGCTAAGTTTTGTGAAAATCGGTTCAGATTTAGATATAGCTCCCATAAATATATTTTCGTCCGATTTAAGGTAAATGGTGCAACAAAGTTCCTATATATCTTTCGATTTGCACGAAATTTGGCACAGCGTGCAGAATTAAACCTAGAATGATGTGTGCTAAGTTTTGTGAAAATCGGTTCAGATTTAGATACAGCTCCCATATATATATTTTCGTCCGATTTAAAGTAAATGTGCCCCAAAGTCCCTATATATGCTTCGATTTGCACGAAATTTGGCATAGCGTAATGAATTGAGTCTAGAATGATGTGTGGTATGTTTCGGGAAAGTCGGTTCAGATTTAGATATAGCTCCCATATATATATTTTCGTCCGATTTAAAGTAAATGGTGCCCAAAACACCCTATATATGCTTCGATTTGCACGAAATTTGGCATAGCGTAATGAATTGAGGCTAGAATGATGTGTGGTATGTTTCGGGAATGTCGGTTCAGATTTCGATATAGCTCCAACATATGCATATAGCCATATGCTATAGCTTCCATATGTATTTCGCCTGATTGAAATTAAATTTTTAATAGTGCGGCGTACCGAATAGCGTGTATAAATTTTGCTATAAATCGTTGTTGGTACAGAAGGTTGCAGAAGACATGAGCATGTTCCTTTGAGGTAACAGTGACATGCAATTGTAATGATACATATGTACAACATACGCAAAGTGGTGAAGGCTATCATATAGTCGGCCCAGTCCGACTTTACTACTTTCCTTACAGGGTTTTTATGTAGAAAAAGGAGAGAGAACCCCTTCATTCATGGACATTCAAAATTCATTTTTTCAGTGGAAGGACAAAGCAAGAGTGGATTTTTGGAACAGAAAAAAAATTATTCTTAAAAAATCCACGCCTGTTTTGGAATAAAAAAAAATTTTTCTTTAAAAATCCAAGCCTGTTTTGAAACCAGAAAAAATTTTTCTTTAAAAATCCGCGCCACTTTTTGGAGCAAGAAAAAAATTATTCTTTAAAAATCCATGCCTTTTTTTGGACCAGGAAAAATGGAAATTTTTTTCTTTTTTAATTCAATCCTTCATTTGACCCGGAAAATTATTCTTTTAAAAATCTATTTATAGAAGAGCTGAAGTTCTTCTTCATAGAAAAGCTGGAGGTCTGCTGCATAGAAAAAGTGGAAGTATTCTTCATATAAAAGTTGGATGTCGGTTTTGAAATGAATTGTTTTGGTTTTGTGTTCAAAGTGATTTCCTATTATTATTTTTTTTTTCTTCTTCTTCTTCATTGCCCTTCTCTTTCGGGATATAAATATTTATGCGCAATTTGATTTCAAACCTCTCGCAATTGAATTTTTGATTTATGTGTTCAATCCTCTCTTTTATAAAGCTTATAAGCTCAGAATATCTCTCTTCTGGGATTTTTTTTGTTCTAACTTACCAAACCAATAAATCCAGCCCAATAGGTGACTGCTTTCAAGCAATTGAAGTTTTTAATTAACCCCGAGGGGTTGCTGTATCCAAATCCACCGTTCATGTTTGAAACCGAATTAAAATAACTCTCTGCTCTCACTTTCTCTCTCGCCTTCGGGGTAGATTGAGTTTGAATCAAAACCCCTGCTTTTTTGGCACCCGCTTTTTATTTTTTTTACCGCAAAAACTTCGCGTACACTTCTCTTTGTTGGCGATGAACAAACAAGTCGGAACTATTTGTTACGCTTAACTAGAACCGTATAATTCGTCAAACCGATTTTCAATGGAAATTTTGTTTTTGTAGAAATTTATTTTTTTTTTTGCTTTTTATCAGAAATTTAACGTTTCGCCGTTGACCTACAATGGGGAGGGATAGAGAATAAAAGTAAGGGGTAGGCTATTAATTACACTTGGCGAAGGTAGATTTCATTTATTATTATTTCGTTCGCTTATTTCCAAATAATCAACCAACCAATTATGAAAATAAGCCACCAACAACTATTTCAGAATTGGAACGATGTTTTGCCCCAAAACAAAAAATGACGTTCGTCGCACTCGCTGCTCTTTCGTATTCGTACTGAGGAGAATTTTCGTTTTTGGGTTTTTTCTAACCACCACCACCACCCGACGATTGATTGCGATATCATCGGACATGGCCAACAGAAAGGTGTTTAGCGGTTGATTTCTTGTCCTAATCAATTTAACCAGAAAATGTTCAAAAATCATGGCAAGGGGGTGATGGAAGGAAGTTGGGGGTGTTCCAAACTCACTGGGAGTGGTTCTTTTTTTGCGGAGGCTATTATTTTGGATATTTATATCAAATAAAAATATTTCAGTTTTTCACGCTCTCTTCGCTCTTTTTTATTTTTCTGTAATCAGGTTAAAAAAATAAATGTAAAAGACACACCAGGGCGAGTATCGTTATCGCCGATATGCGGGATCTTATCAATGCATTGTTGTTGTTTATTTTTTTCGAATTTTCAGATAGTCAATAAGCGGAGGTGTCATAAACTATGTACTAGAGTGCGTACGTCAACGAGGGGGTGTATGTTAGGTGATGAAAACTATTTTGTTAAAAAGACTACGCTCATGATTGGTATCGGGTCCTTGAAACATATTTTTTTTAAAAAGATGTAATTTTTCCGATTTTAACAGTTGAAGCTAAGCTGTATAGCCGTATCAATTTTCCCAGAATATCGATCACTTACATCGCTTGACTTTTCGTGGGTCTTTCTCAGGATTTGGCGCAGTGTGAATATCTTATCAATGGTGGATTTGCTAAGTCTGAAGCCGCCTTGGTATGATCCAATAATGGCTGATGTATATTTTGGACCACTACCGATTGATCAATGACATCATCGGACCATACCAATGCGGCTTCAGATCTGCCAAATCCACCATTGACCAGATTTTCACTCTGCGCCAAATCCTGGAAAAGACCTACGAAAAACACATCGACACATACCACATATTTGTCGAATATAAAGCCGCATTCGACAGCCCTATCCGTTCAGAGGTGTTTAAAGCCATGTCTGCGTTCGGCATTCCTGCAAAATTAATACGGCTATGCAGGATAACTTTAAGTGGCACAAGGTCAGCCGTTAAAGTAGGAAAGGACCTATCGGAGCCCTTCAATACCGAACGAGGATTCAGACAAGGTGACAGTTTGTCGTGTGATTTTTTTAACATCCTACTGGAAAAGGTCATACGAGACGCAAAGGTGAACAGAAATGACACTCTGTACACCAAACAACATCAGTTACTCGCCTACGCCGATGACATCGATATAATGGGTCGAACATTGCGAGCGGTAACAGCCACCTTTGAACAAATTGAAAAGGAGTCTGCCAAAGTGGGTCTGGCAGTAAACGGCGAGAAGACCAAGCTGATGGTATCAACGCGCAAGACGTCCAGTAGACTCGGACCAACTGTGGAACTTGAGAACTACAGCTTCGAGGTAGTAAAAGACTTTATATACCTTGGTACCGCCATAAATAAAACGAAAAATATCAGTTTTGAAATTCGGAGAAGGATTGTGATGGCCAACAGATGCTACTATGGTCTAAGTAAGCAGTTTAGAAACAAGCCCACCTCTCGCCAGACCAAACTCACACTTTACAGGACGCTGATACTACCCGTGCTATTATATGGATCAGAAGCATGGGTACTTGCGCAAGCAGATGAGGCAGCGCTTGGGGTGTTTGAGAGAAAAATTCTCCGAAAGATCTACGGGCCGATCTGCGTCGACGGTGAATATCGGCGTCGAATGAACCTCGAGCTCTACAATTTATACGCGGACATCGACATAGTCAGTCGTATTGAGCTGCAGCGACTACGGTGGCTAGGCCATGTTGTGCGGATGAATGAAGATGCCCCAGCTCAAAAGGCATATAAAAATGAGCCTACTGATGGTTCCCGTAGAAGGGGAAGGCCACGAATTAGATGGAAAGACCAAGTAGAAAACAACATCTTGGAACGTGGTCTTCCAAATTGGTGGACTTGCGCACAAGACCGACGCGCTTGGAAATCTTTTTTAAGCTTGGCTTATGGAACAACCGTTCTGTAACAAGCCAGCTAAACAAAACAAACCGATTGATTGCTATTCCGACCTCATCTTAGTGGTATATTGGTTTTGGGATATATTTTTCGCCGCCACTATGTGATGCCTAAAGCTTTGCAAAATGCTTTTTTCAGATTCTCAAAGCGCGATGTGTAGCCTTATCTAAAGAATGTATCCGAAAGACCGTTTTCGAACCCTGGAACCATGGACTTAAATACCTTTCGAATGTGGTCTCTTCCAGAATTTAGTAAATTACCTGATACATACTTTTAATTATCGACTTTCAATAGTTCGGCCAGTAACCTATCGGCACCTGCTGCTTTATTATTCTTTAGTTGATTGATTGCTATTCTGACCTCATATTGGTATACGTTCTATGTCGTCGTCTTTTATTGATTCTGCGCTACGATTTTATGCCAAAGGCTTTTATAAAATGCCTCATCCTGATCCTTAAAACCCTGTCCGAAGGGCTATTTTTCATAGAAGAGATAGTGTTTGTATTTCTAGAACAGCTGGAAGTGTTCTGTATCGGATATGTGGATATATTTTTTTTGGTCTTCTTTATCGATTAATTGGTGGTCTCCATAATCGATGATCTGGAGATCTCCTTACTTATTTCTAGAAGAGCTACGAATCTTCGGCATAGAGGATAGCTCTACAGAAGACAAACAACAGATATTTTCCAGTAAAATATTTAATTTTGTTCGGGCCGAAGTTTTATACATGTAATCGAAGGATACACTTTTGGGGCGGAACTGCATTATAAATTATCTGCCAAAAACTTTGTTTGCTCATTAAGAATCCCTAATGTGCCTTCGACTTGGCAAAGATTTCCGGATTTCATTTCGACTCCTGTACATCTCGATTTGCTTACGTGTTTTTTTAATGTGAAAAATAGGTTTCGCCTCTCTCTTTAGCATTACGACACTTCAGATCGTACCATCGATTTTTTGAAAGCCATCTTTGGCACTCAAATTCTGTTTTTGTTGTAGAAAGCCTATTGACATTGTGTACATCGATATGTTAAAATCTAGTGCTGCAAACTACCATATTTTTATTGCCATAACTATATATCGATGGCTTAACGTGAAAAAGACAATAAGTCCACTTTTTCTAGAAATTGGGCTTTTGATACGGACATTATCAATAAGTAAAAATTAATCGATTTAGTAAAAAATCTACAATTGTTTTTGTATTTTAGTGATGATTATAGAGGCGCTAATTAGCACATGTCGCTGGCTGTCTCTCCTGTAAAATTGTAAAATATGGACTTATTGCCTTTACATATAATAAAAAATATTACATTTGTGTACCACACCTCATTTTAAAATGAATATATATATATATATACACATTAGGAGAGCCTATTTTTAGTTACTAAATTTAATACATCTATAAATGAAACTAGGTTAGCCAATTGATTTGTTTTCAATGAAAATTTGTATTGGTCTTATATTTACATACCTATCAATGGCATGTAAATTCAGTAGGTCTAATTTTTATTACAGACAAAAACTAATAAATTCTTTATATTTCGCCCAAACGAATTCACAGTGGTCTTTGATAACGACCAACCTTATCAGTTGTTTGATTTTGTAAAAAAAACACTGTATCTTTCGTCACATACCACCAATAACCAACTATTGTGGGTAATATGATTTATTGGATTGAATTTATCATGACATTCCCAACAAAAATTCATAAATTTTTTAATTAGAAATTTGTTGTTAACGTAATGCATAAAGTTATTTCGTTGTTACTGTTTTAATTCCAATGTCTTAGCTATTACAGGTAGTAGCATTTCCACGTCCGTCATAATCCAAAGGCAATAGGGCATGAAGATTTTATTGAGAACAAAAATTAATTAATTTGTAAATGGTAAATTGGTGTAAACCACCCACCAATTTACCATTTACAAATTAATTAATTTTTCTGTTTCTGTTGTTTGTTTCTGTTTCATCCGCCATCTGAAATAGAAAAGAAATTATTAAATGTATTGCCTAACTGTGTGATATATTAATGAAATACAAACCATTGTACGAAAACTTAAAATCACTACTTTGGAAGGTCACTTCTTCTTTGGAGACTTTTCATCTTTAATTCGTTCCATAGTTAGGCTATAAATTTGCATTATATTACGGATATTATGAAAAAAGTACGTAAAATCGGGCAGAGTAACTTTTACCGCAATACTTTGTTTGTACAAAAAATTTGATCGCACCAAAATCGCAGAATATCTAAATGTTCCTTGGCTATGTCTGGATTATTATTGGTTATGGCATTTAAATCGGCATTTGATGGTAATATAATATGATTTAGACATTGGGGCATGGTTCTCTCAATGTGTTTCTGCATAAAAGATGCCCGTCCCAGACTGATTTATGACGGAATGCTGTTACTATGATGACATTAGAGATTGTTACAAATGATATTAGAGATCGGGGTGCTTTCATATGGCTATATAGAATGGAGGGGCGGGGTGGGATTTCAGTAGGGCTATTGAA